CATCTATTCATTCATAGCAGGTGCGTTGGAGCAGAGACGCAAGTAAAACATGCAAGGCTGCGGCCCTCCAGGACCAGGATTGCCCACCCCTGCTTTAGAAATAAACAAAAACTTATTCAACCAGTTCAACCAGTTATCATTAGCACCAATTTTTTTTTCTGTCAGGACTCGGACACTAAGAAACACATCTCCATGAGATCTTTACAAACGCAACATTCTTACTGCAAAAACTGTCCACTTCACCAAGTCTGACTGTCTTWTATCAGCTGAAAGGTGTTGTTGTTTACAGATCGATATAATCAGTAAGAGCAGCCTTTACTTTAATTAGCCTGGAATTTATTTATTTTAAGAAGTCTTACAAGATTACTTCACTTAATTTGAGAAGATTCAAACAATAATCTAGTATTTTTAATTAATGTTGATGGTGACCAGTGTGGATTGTTGCCACTTTAACCCAAACTTAGTCTGGAAATTTTATTTTATACATTTTAGTTTTTCACAAGAAACCATAATTTTATCCATGTAACAAGGTCGCTTTTGGAAGAAACACATTTCTGCTGCAATGACCAAATAATGTAAAGTTTATTTTAAAAATCTCCTAAAATGTTAAGATTTAGTGTTTGTTCAGATCCTCAGAATTCAGCTTTAAATAAAACATTTTTAATAACAACTCCTCCACCATTTCTTGCTTTAAAAATCTCAACTTTAAATTATAAAGCCAACTTCAACATGTTTGTTGTCGAAACAAACGTTAAAAACTCATTTCCATGCTGGTGAGCGTCTCCATCTGCTCACATTAACTCCACTTCTCAGCAGCTAAAGATAAACAAAGTTCCATTTGTTTAAATGTGAAATGTTCAGCGTGATAAAACAGGAATATTAATTATTTTACTGATAAATGTTTTTTAAAAATGCATGTCAAGCAATTAAAAGGAAAAAACTAGAAATAACTAAATACTGATGCGCATTTAGGCTTTCATTGATTTTTATTTAAAAGGACTGAGGAGGCAATAAAATAAACAAATCAACAAATTTTTACAAAACTGTTTTTCTCATTAAATAAACATGAATTTAAATGAAAAATACATAAACAATCATTAAAATCTGAACATCTGAGGTGTTTTTAAGCAATGTGAATATAAAAAGTAGCTGTTCAAATAAACTGATTGTTCTAAAAAAAACATTTTTTTTCATTTAACTGAGCTGAAATGAGTTATTATAAACAGAATTACAGCTGCAACTTTAACTTTGACTAAATAAGAAAAATCACATTTATTTACAAAAGTACACGGCATAAAGTTTGTTTTTAAGTGAGTTAAATAGATTTTTCTTCAAACTAGAGTAAAAAATAAGTCTTCATTTCAGCTAAAACTCTTATCTACAACTTTACTTTCTCAGGTAATTAAGCAAACAGGAAGTTGTCATGAATCAATCTGGACACCAGTTTGTGAAAAATTAAGTTTTTTCTGGATTCTGAAAGACGAAAAAAAAAAAAAACAGCCATTATAATAAATAATAAGGTCATCAATTCTGTGTGAACAGAGACTAAGAAAGCCTCTGTGAGGTTATTGCCTCTGGGATAACTACAACACAGATGTTAAAGCAGAAAAAAGGCCGTCTCCTGGGCAAAGACCTAATTAAAGTGAAATAAGGGTTAAGAGAGATTCTGCTGTACAATAAAACCAACACAAGAAGAAAAGTCCTCCTCTCCCCTGATGCTATTATTCCCCGTTCTGCTGTGAGGTAATTAACTTCACCGGCATGTTGTGAATTCTCGCCTCTCAGACTCGGAGCTGGATGTGCAGATAGACGAATTAGAAAAAAAAACATTTAGGTCTCCAACTTTGAATTCTCCACATCCAGCCAGGATTTCCATTGCAATTTTGCCTCATAATCAGGCTGATTTTACACCTGGCTGGAGATAATAGTGGAGCTTGTCGACGGCAGCGAGCTCTAATTGTTCTACGTATGCTTTCTTTAATGCGAAACAAATTGCTGTGTGGAGAGAGAAAAACAAAAATAATTAATAGTGTCTGCCAGGTTAAACGGAACAAGGACGTCTAAAAGTGAAAATGGCTCTTTGCTTGTTTTTTTATTGTCAGAATCACCTTGTTGATAAAAAAAAATATTTAATTTTAAGCATCAGTTAATGCAGGTCACTGCTGTCACTGGTTTACCAAACATGGATTTTCCATTGAGTTGTAAAACTCATCAAACTTCCACACTTAGAAAGAACAAGTGGTGAACTTTTAATTGTGTTCGTGCCTCGACCCTCAGCCGAAGCAGCCAACGGCTCTCTTCACTAACATCACTAAGTGTGGTTGGAGGAGCAGATTAAAGAAAACTGATGATGTTTATGCTAAAAAAATACAGACTGGAGTGCCTGACGTGTTCCTTTTTTAAGTAATTCTACAACCAGTAGCTTGAAAAATGATGTCAACTACGAAGAAGCAGCAGATGGAGAGTAAAGGGTTAAACATAAAGAAAACAGTTTACCTTTAGAGTTTTCAGTTTAAACTACTATTCAGAATTTTTAGTATAATTAATGTATTTCATGTAGTATTAATGCAAAATTCCGTACTCAAAATAATCCGTGTATGTTTTTTTTACCCTTCAAAATAAAACGAGAAAAACAAATAATCAGATGGTTTATTAGTTTCTTAGTTTGTTTTACAACAGCAAAACTGAATAAAAGGCAGTTATTTTTTGGTTTTGTTTTATTGGTTAGAGCAAAGACAAGCTTTGTAATTTGTTTGTGCACCATTTGTTACTTCCTGGAGGAAGCAAACATCCTCACGGCCTGAACTCCTGGAGCGTTACGTTTTCACTGAAACCAGTTTTATTTAGAGGAAGTCAATCTTAACATAAACAAATTTACTTTAATATTCAAAAAATAAATCAATAAATATAAATTCTAAGTTCTGCAGGAAAAAGTTTTTGTGCAGCCATTGCCAACATCTTAAATGTTGTTTTTGAGCAGTTTTTTTTTTCAGCCACTATAAAGTCTTATTCTTTGACTTCTGTCATTTCTGGTCTCGCTATATAAAGTATCAACAAATGTGTATTTTATTTTGGATTTAGCGAAGCAAAAACAAATCACTGGGTTTTTTATTAGTTCTATTTTACATTTTCATATTTAGGTTTTGAAAACAAAATAAGTAAAATACAAAAAAAATAACATTTTATTTTGCTTTGTTTTATTTTGAAAGGGAAAAAAACAAAGAATGAACCATACACTGATTCAAAAGAATATTTTCTCTTGGTAGTTTTTGTACTTTTCTTCCAGTAAAGTATGTATGTATGTTAGTTAGTTAGTTACCAGAACTGCCGTTTAATCCTCTTAGTCTGTGTTGTTTTTAATATTTTCAATGGTTGTCAGCAAAATATCTCACAGAATGGATTTGAAGGAAACTCTCAAAGTAAGCACTGAAGAAATATCAACAACTTTGGAGTCAACCTAATTCAAGATGGCCGCCAYGGCTAATAGACCTTAAACATAAAAATGGCTTAAATTCAGTCAGTTTTATTGAATTTAATCATAACAGATCTCATATGTGTTGGTATGCATCCCTGTTGTCTCCAAGTTCATTTCCAAACTGAAACACACAAAAAGCAGAGCTTTAACAGAAATAAAGCTGCTCCAGCTGCTCCAGCATTGCTTTTCTGATCAAATGAAACGACAAATATTGTTCAGACCAAACAGAGTTTCATCAAAAGTCAAAGTTCATTTAAAACGCAGTGAGTTCCTGACTATGGCTTCCTGGGTGATGGAAGTAAAYGCAATTAAAAAGCTTTTGTACGACACAAGAGCCTGGTGGTAATCAGACCATGAAAGCTGGGAATAAGTTGGGGTTAATTAACGTGGAGGATTTAAAGCCTTTAACAAAGTAATATGAAAAGCAGCAGACCTACAGCTTAGTATCACACTTCTTCACAAAAGGCTGCAATCTCTCTCCTGGCAGAGCCGCTAAAAAAATAAAAAGAATAAACTATAAAGCTGCAAGTTTGACGGCATATATTCTAATATTAGCGCATCAGTTATTGTATACRTGCCAAAATGATTCAATTATAGTATATGTCAGGGAAAATATCCAGTTTTTAAGATTAGGGATTAGAATAGATGACTTTATATTATTTCATCTGGTTGTAATGTCAGTAATTAGTAATAAACCTTCTATATTATAATGAGAAACTAGTATTTTATCAGTGAGTGAAATCAGCTGCACGTGGRTTAAAAAGAGCAGCTGAGCAATTTTTTTTCCTTGTTGAAAACAAGCTTGTAAAACACTCTGGGTAATACAATTCTTAATTTACTTGCTATTGTCACTGTTTWTCTAATAGCAACAGAACATTAAAGGACAACTTCTTTAAAGTGCCTGTGACATATATTTTTAAAAAAATAAATATGAATGTGTTTTTGGGAATATAACACATAGAATATTGCAAAATAAATTTCATGCCGCTGAGCTGAACAGTTGCTGAAATATTTGCATGTGAACAAACAGGAAGTGATGTCACAGGGGAAATGTCTACAGAGCTTTGCTACAACAGCTACAAACGAGAAGAATTTCATGTTTCTTTAAATTCTGAAGGTTTTATTTACATTAAGCTGGTTTAAGCTGTATATTTGTCGTTGCATTTTTGTGCGCTAAATATCACGATATTTTGCAATTCTGTAGCACRGTGATATATTACCATTTTTTTCTCCAAAAAATCTTGTTTTAAAAAACTTATGTATTTTATATGTTTCATATTTCTTATTTTATCCATGTTTTTAATGGTTAGGCCAAATGTGCCATTAAACAGTTTAATATTTTAGATTTTAATGTCAACGTATTATAAAAACAACAGTAATAGCCTAAATCCTGCACTAAAGTTAAGCTAAAGGCAGCGGGTGTCAGTCTAATCTGCTCAGATTCAACCTCYGGTACTTAGTGCCAATGTTTACTTACAATGCTAACGTTTGAGCTAACGTTATAATCTCTGGCTCCTCAGGAGTGGAAGAGCTAAATGACTGGCTGACTGCTTCCAACTATCGGCCGGAGGCTAAATTACAACACAAAAATGAACCGCTAGCATGAAAGTTTACATTTGAAACCCTTAATTTAAAATCGATACAGTGCTTTAGAGAATCGATACAGTATTGGKAAATAAAAYATTGCGATATTTCAGTATATCAATATTTTTCTTACACCCTTAGGTTCAAGTTTGTTTGTAAGGTTTCTGATAAAATACAAAGCTGAAATGTGATCTCTTAGAGCTACAGTTAGGATAACTGTCAGCTACTACACCACCAAATTTTAGCTCAATATCTGTAAAATTCTTTTGTTTAAAGCCATTTTTTAGGTGGCTGGAGTGCCTGACGTGTTCCTCTTTTTAAGTAAGTCTACAACCAGTATTAGGGGTGGTCGGGATAGATTTATGACTGTATAACACAAAAACAAACTGTGGCATTAGCCTAGCTTGGATGAGGACTTGTGTCTCTTTTAGTACTCTTACTACAATCTTTAGAATGGAAGGAAATCAACATGAATGTTATAAAAAAATGAAAAAGAGCAGCCAGTCAGAGAAAGTTTCGTCCCCACATTGATTCCCTCGTATTAAGTTTAAAACGTTGCGGATGCAACATGAGCACCATATGGCTGCTCTTTTTGATTTGGAGCTGATATTTTCTTTTGAGAGACCTTTGATTAGTTTGTAGCTCCGTGAGTCACTTCCTGGCATTTGAAAAATAATTCATTCACGGCCTAATGGACGTAATAAAAGGCTGCACGCTTTGCAGCTAATCCYCTTAAGTACACACAATATGTGAAATAGGAAGCAGTATAACACTCATGTTTATGAGGCCTTCCTGTTGTCCGCCTCTCTTTGGAAACTGGTTTCCTTTCAGATGTTTGATTCTGTTGCACTGACACCAGCCAGTTGGGTGCTTTTCATTTTCTTCAACAACATTTCATGATTGAATCCCTAAAAGCACTCAACGTGCAATATATTGAAGGTCCCCTATTTGATTTAGCTTCTGACGTTGGAGCTCTGAATGTCAACAAAAAACGATTTCTTTGATCGAGTGTGTTTGGTGGTTAAAAAATTAAATGTTTTCATTCCTTTTTGTGTTTGATGTATATGAAGTATGAGTTTTAGATGTAAAATTGAAGCGCTGGCGTTCATTATGTGCAGCAGAAAAAGCAAAGTTTCCACTAAAGTGTTGCATTGATTTGTGCTAAACGCTGCCTGTWTGGGTGAATTTCAATTATGGGATGGATGCCCCACAATGCTCCGGCCCGATGTGGAGGTCTGAGTTAATTATTTGCTTAAATAATGTGGCAGCCTCAAGCCTCTGCAACAGAAAGAAAAAACATTTTTGTTGTTTTCTTTTCCTTCCATTGTTCATAAAGAAAAAAAAGATGAGCATGTTTAAATTCTAAAGATTCAGGACAGAAACTGAACAATTTAGCCTGAAAAAAATCTGTGGTTTAACAACTGAAACAAACAAATGTGATTAAGTTGATGCCTCATTAGGTGGAAAACATTATCCTGACATTTCTCCTTTTTTAGACAAAAGTTGCAAACCTTAAAGACCCCCGTAATGCCCACCAAAACTGGTTTTCATGTTTTGTCTTTATGTAGATTACCACTGGATGGTATTAAACTACTCGAATGTGCTCGTTATCACCACATAACTGACGTCCGGATCATAAAACGAGGCTGAACATCAGAATGATCGTTGCTCCGACTTCTTCTGTAAAAAGCTCCAAATGAACAGCGAGTGTTTGACGCAGCTCAGATAATTTAATACCTTCATCTGTTTGGGTTTTTTTTTTTTTTTACATTCCATTTCCAAAAAGGTCAGAACTGTCAGAAAGTTTGATGTTTCAGCAACACAAATGTGTCTCCAGGAGTAGGTGGTCTGTGAAACCAAAGATTTTTACTATAAAATAACAAAAATCTGCAGTAAATGACTGCCTGCAGGAATACAGGTTTTGAGTTGTTTTAAA